CCCCAGTGACTCCTCTGAAAAAAAACTTCTTCAAACTGAGGACCACTCATTTTTGGCACAAATGTGGCATAAACATGTAGTATTGACCTCACCTGTAATTAAGGGGAAAATGTTGCCTATATTCCAGTCCAGAGACAAAATATGCTGCAATCTCACAGGTGTTTGAACTTAGTTGTAACCTGCACTATTTCCTTTTCACCAAGTGTAGCAGAATTTTGTTTAGTTTTGTTATAATCTGCAGTCTTTACTCCGACTCAGTTGTCTAACACCAGCCAGCCTTCTGGGCTTTAACAAACAAGTCTTCCTAGTCTAAGAACTAGAGCTGAAGGATATTCTCAAACTGACTTGAAAATGACTTCACTGAAGTGTAAAACATGTTAAACATGTTGTGTTTTATGTACATTTGGTAAAGTATGTTTAAATGTTATCAGAATCTGTTGGATTTGAATTTACAATTCTTTTAAATTAAGTTCTTGTTGGTTTACTTTCTAAAGTAATTTTAAGTATATTTTACTATCCAGATTCTTTTAAATTTATTATTAAAATGATACCTTGGTATTTAGATTTTTTGTCTTGTTTTAGCAGACCCTAGCTGTGATAAATATCTGTATTGGTATTTTAGTTGCAGTCACTAAATGTTATCACTGAATATTATTATCATGATGAAGAATTCAAAATGACATGGTATCCACCTGACTTGATGTAATAACGAAAGTACAGGAGATTGTTTACCTGCACTACCTCACAGAGAGCTAGTTTAGAGGTGTTCTATGTTTATTACTTGTGGCAGATTGTCATGTGATTGGACAGTTTTAGATATCATATATGCCAGTCAGGATTCTTGTTTCATTTTAACTAAGGGTTTTCATCATAGCATCAAAAAGCATTGACAACCTTTTAGCACTCAGAGCCATTACTACTTTTCTTTTAGCATTCATGCCACAGTTCTTGAACATTACCTCTGTCAAACAACACAACTTATAATATAATAAAATAATAAAACAATTTATTGATCAAACACTTCGTTACTGATTGGTAAATCCGGTTAAATAGATAGTTGTTTGGTTAAAGGGAGAATTTAGACAATAAAAAGCAGAAGGGTGTCCTTGAGTATATCTGGTAATTGTTTGGACTTCACAGGCCTGTTTAAAGTATAGCAGAAAATATTAAAGAAAATGCATTTCAAAGATACTGTTATGCTATATATATTGTATAAAATGTCAACCAACCAAACTAAGTTTCCTCACTCAGTACAGCAGAGAAGTCGCTGTAAATAAAATCTTAAATTTTTTCGGGGGCCAGGGTTTACAGTTTGTGTTTCGTTCCTTTGCTAAACTAGCCAGACTATACAGTAGCTACCAGTGAGTACACAAAAATAGCAGCCACAAAAAAAAGAGAATACATAGAATATTTTTATCCTATTTTTGTACTCAAGAAGCAAAATGTATTGTTCTCATAGTACAAATAACCAGCATGTTACATAACATGAGTATAAGTTTAAAAAAACAAAAAACATTCTTTCAACATTGAACATTTCTAGAGTTATTTGTCAAATTCAAGAGATGTTATCCGTAATCTTTTTTAAAACATTGTCATTTAAAATAATATGAGACATTGGAATGTAAATAGAAACATTTTTACACACGTTTTATTTCTTTTTGTCAGGAATGTTTTGCTCTTACATAAACTGGAATATATATTTTACGTGGATATTAAATGTTCTCATACTGCCTCTGTTGTTGTTTGCTGTCTTTTTTTTTGTTGTCTTTATGGATCTGCATGGCTGACTGATATTATTATGATGATTGTTATTATTATTCAAGATTGATCCAGCCTCATGTTCCACTAATCACAGCGAAGGTACACTCTTTATTGCTTTAATGTCATATCATTGCCACAATCAATAGCGTAACATAATGTCCACAGTGATTAATCAACTGATTTTTACACACCCAGCAGTTTTGAGAGACATTGCCCAATTAACTCAGACTATACAACATTAGTTTTTTCCAATATTACATCGCTCCCTGTGTTTGTCGCGCCTAAATGAGCACACAGTACAAGCCAATAAAGCAGAGTTGCTGACACAATGGTGGTAATTTGACTCAACGGGAGTTCTCATTTGTACCTGGACTAAAGAGAAGAGGGCAGGTGACCCAGTAGACTTTACACTTCGAAAACCCAGTTAAGATCCATCAGCATTTGAAGCAACTACTAACTGGACCTTATGGTGAGAACTGTTATTTCCTTTGAACCTCACCTTTTAGGCTTGATGATGAGAAATGCTGAAAGTAAAATGGAAAACTGAGCAGTTTCAGTAACAAATAATCAAACTCCATCTGCCATCGTATGACTAAATGATAGAAATGAAGTGGACCTTGTGTTGAGATTGTTTTATCAGCTGCTGTTTCTGAAGCTGCGGCATGGTGGTGGGGTGGTAAGCACTGTCGCCTCACAGCAGGAAGGTTGTGGGTTTGAACCCGCCAGCCGGCTAGAGCCTTTCTGTGTGTCGTATGCATGTTCTCCCCGTGTCTGCGTGGGTTTTCCCCGGGTGCTCCGGCTTCATCCCCACTGTTCAAACACATGCAGGTTAGGTTAATTAACATCTATAAATTGCCTGTAGGTGTGAATATTTGTTGTCTCTATGTGACAGCCCTGTGATGGACTGGGGACACAGTGTGTACCCCGCCTCTGGGATTGGCTCCAACCCGTGACCTTCCAAAAGAGTGTTTATAGAGAATGGATGGATGTTTCCAAGGTAAAGAATGGACTTTGAACACATTTTTTCTTTTATTCAAGTTCAGGTGCAACTCCCAATATGTATCAGTGAGTGTCAGCTAGTAGAAGATTTGAAGAAGATAAGATCTGGGTATAAGTGAGGGTTATGAGTCAGTCAATCATATTTAATCTCTGAGAGCAACATCAATACTTCCTCACTGAATAGATCCATACAAATCTTCTAGTTACCTACAATCTTAAATCTTTACAAAACTGACTCTACCTTGTAGTTGTGAAGAAAGTCAGTTCAAAGAATAAGTTGTATATCCTCTTTATTGTTCGCTTGCTTTCCATTGTCATTCTGATGAAAACTACAGAGAATTCAACAAACTGTCAAATAAATATAAAGTGTATATTCAACTTTCACTTTATTGTACCACACAGATTTAAGATAACAATATACATAAAACTAAAAGCAATTCATAACATTAATTTACAATAAAAAATACATAAATATGCAAATATGCATATAAATACTGATTCTCATGGTTTTCAGGTTTCTCAAATTATTTTCAGACCACCAGTGCAACAATTGCACTTGCTGGTTCTGAGTGAATTGAAGAAATCACACACAATAACTGACTGATTCATTGGCGGACTTATTGACTGATTCAAAGAAAATGGCCCCTCAGGTGAAGTCATCAGCTGGTCTCCCGTGGCGACGATAGACTCTCTGGATGATGGTGATAATGACCTGTCACTCACTGTTCCCCCATGCTTACATACAGTATGTTTCTTAAAATAAACACACTGCTTATGGCAGAAGGAATACGTACATGTATGTATGTAATACTTGTGTAAATCCAAAACTCTATAAGAAAACTTCACAAGTTCATAATATTATTGGTACCCTAAGGAATTTATGATATCTTTGTGTGTATGTGTGTGTGTGACACATTTTTATATCAGTCCATTAGTACTAATTAGTGTTGCTGTTATCAGGGCTGTTAATGGCTCCCTAGTAACAGCTCGGAACCCAAACACCGGTAGGAAACACAGCGTGAAGCGATGAGAGTCCAATCAGTGTCCTGCCCACTTATTTTGTTGCTTTTTGAGTATTTGGCTGCCTCTCCCTCTTCCTTCCTTCCTTCGTCCTCCCCCCAGCCAATACTGTGGTGTCATACATGGTAATTAACACCCGCATTTACAGTAGCTGATGCTTTATACTCAAAACCACAAGCTTCAATTCATATATACAAAAAAAGCTGAAAAATATATTGTTAGGCCTGTATCAACTGCATGTTTTTCTAATATTTTTAGGACCTTCAGATCTTCTTGTAGGAATCAGACACACATACACACACATATATTCTTTCCTCTGAGACTAGGAGGTTCCAGGCCATTGGTTTAGCTGATGGAGCTAAAAGTAAGGGCTGACTATTAGCCCTGGCTTAGACTAATCAATAACTTCTGGTGTGTGTGTGTTTGTGTGTCTCTATGCCCAGAGAGGCGGGGTCTTCAGTTTGTACAAGCAGTCTGAACCACTTATGTTGTATATTCAGATGGAGGATGTCGTCTGCATTGACTGGTTTCCCTTTAGAAATGCAAGAGTTGATAGATCAGCCGAAACTTATTTATAGAGTAATAATGTGTTTGTAATGGTTTTTTGGGGGGGGTTATGGTTTTGTGTATTTTCTATGGGGTTTAATCTTTGTTTATACACAGAAAGAGTTTTCCTGCGATTCAACTGTATTTTCATAAACATTCTTCATGTCATTTTTTCAGTCTCCTACGCCCAGACAAGACAAGTTGGAACCATAATTTAGCTCTTCAGGGGCACAGGTGAGTAATACCGCACAGAGTTTTCTTTGATATTTTATGCTACAGTGGTACTTGGTGGTGTTGGAGGATCATTTTTCATGTGATAAAATAGAGATCTCAGTAAATGGGAAAAATACAAATGGATATAAAAACAAAAAAGATATTGCAGCCTAAAATGAATGAATCAGGAAAATACATTAATCTGATGTAAAATATATTAAGAGAAAGGGCTGAAATGCTAGAAAACTAAAGATATGACTGAATTGGTTAGATGAGACCAAATTAAGATTAATTAGAGTAAACTCATTTATTTTTGATTTGTTTTTTATTTAATATCCTTTGGACAACAAGTTTGCCTGTTTTAGAGAGCATTTCTGCAAAACTATTTTATGTTAAACTAAATGCTCTTCCATGAGTAGTGCGCCACTGAGTAAGAAATTGGATTGTAAATGTGCTTACAAGTTGACAGCAACCAGACCACGCTTGAAGGTGAATTCCGGTTTATTTCAACCTGACCTATTCCAAATAAAGAGTCTGTACTTTTTCTTTTATGGAACTAAATTCTTAATTTGCAGCACCCACATATTCCAACCCCAGCATGCATCAGATAGGCGATCCAGGGAACCACGGTGTGCATCTGTTCATCATCTAGCTGACACAAGCTGTACTGTACTGTACTGTATATGGATATAGACCCTCTTACTTTCATACCTGCAGGAACCTTAGAAGCCCAACTGACTTTGGTCTGTGGGGGCCTCATTTATCTGCAGGGTTAGAAATCCTTCTATTCTGTAACTCATCTGTCTCTTTTTATCCACACCTCATCCTTTTGTGATCTGTATAGATTTAGTAAGGAAAGTCAATAAAGGATAAAAGCTTTTACTTGGATTAATCTCAACAGTGTATTTCAATTGGATGTTTTAAGGCTTCTGTCAGAACATATTATTGCAAATATATAAGTTGTGCATTCAGTGTAAATTTAGCATGAAAAAAAAAAAATAGTTTACTGATAGAAAAGAGTTCATCCATGTTGGTGGGGAGGGTGGGAGAGTTCATCCCCATCATCAGTGATCTGGGTCAGTGGGGGAGGAGGAGTCCCGCAGCTGTTACACATTGCTGGTGTGTGTGTGTGCATGGATATACATATGTAGTATTAGTATGTGCATGCAGGACTTTTTGCCTCTGCTTGTGTGTGCGTTTGTGTCACTAAATCTCAGTCAGTCTCTTAACAGGACCCTTTCTGTGTTCACTGCAGTGCTATTGTTTTGTGTGTGTGTGTGTGTGTGCGTGTGTGTGTGTGTGTGTATGTGCCAGACTGCATTTTCAATTCCATAACCGCGTGAGCAGATGTTTTAATGTATGTAGTTGTAGGTGTGCACGTTAGCTGTATTTACTTTACATTGTATGACTGTGTGTCCAGTGTGTATGAGTTCATGACTCTGTGTGTGTTTGTGTGTGTGTGTGTTTGTCTGAGTGTGTGTGTCCCTGGTATTTAGTTAAATGTAGCTTAATGGTCCCAGCAGCAGACAGCCCATTTGAGCTCTAGATGTCATTTCAATGTCATGTAGCTCTCATTTAGTTTAAAATGTCATTTATACTAAGCAGTAAACACTTACTTGTTTAAACAATGCGTACAAAGCTGTAAATATGAGCACTCTGTAGCCACGCTGGTGGCCTTATGAGGCAACACAGCACAATGAAAAGCTTTTTGTATTTTTAGATCCTCACCAATAGTGGGGCAAAAAATAAAAAATAAATGAAAATTACGCATCAGAAAAGTCCATACTGCATATTCACTGAGTAGTCCAATACAGACACTGGTTAAACTTTCTTATCTTATGTGAAGTGTCTCTGAGTTTCTTGAAAA